CGCGGCACACCGCGTCCTCTTCTCCCAGCGCGCCGCCGCACCACTGTGGGCCGGCGCTGCTCCACCCCCCGTTGAACCACTCCTCCCCGATGCTCCTCCTCCGGCGCTTCCCCCAACGAGCATCTAGACTTGCCGTGGACGCGGCCTCCTGGCTCTGCCCCACCCATGCCTCCTCCATGTTCTGCCCCTGGCCATGCCCGCGCCGGCGGCCCAACCATCCAGCTCGAGCAAAAGAAGTTCAACGCCTCGAGCGCGAGCAATCCATCCAGGTTCTCGATGTGGGTCTCCCACAGCACCGTCGACGACATGCCCAAGGCCGAAGCGGCGATCTGCCTGACTCCTACAATATGACCTTCATGCCTGTGTCTTCTCCGCCGCCCTCCTTCATCTTCCTTTGCATGTGGTGGACGCCATGGCGTGCTCGCTGGATCCCTGCACAAAGATGTTGCGGGGGTCGCTGGATCCATCCTCCGACCACAACCACCTCGCCCATGGAAGCATGGGGCTTTCTACGACCAACGCTCACTATCTTCTATGTCACCCATAGCCCATTGACCTCATGTGCTCCTCTGTATGTGAGTCACTTAGGCCTCATTCGGTTTGGAGGATTTTTATAGGAAAAACATGGGAACAAGGATTCCAGAGGAAAATTTCCTATATATGCATTCGGTTTGTATGAAATCCGTAAAGGAATTTCATATGAATACTATTCATTTCTTATGCTTTTGGAGGAAACTACACATCCACTGAAAGCTCATTTTGCGCGTAGGAACGAGGCAAGTCAATTCCTTAGGGTGGCAAGTGCCATCCTATCAAATTCCTATACTACTTCAAATTCCTACGTTTAGATTTCCTCCAAACCGAATGAGCTCTTATGTGTTAGATTCTGTGTTGTGTTTGTTCCGTGGTAGACTGATGATAGTTCAGTTACAGGGAAAACAACAGGTTGGCTTGTACGCGGCCTACTGATAGAGTAAAATTGATGTTGCTGCTCTGCGTTAAAGATGGCTCTAGATGAAGCACTATCTAGCCGACGTACTACTTGTTCTACTGTACGTTGTACCTTTTGTTTGGTGGATCAGCTACTGTTTTGCTAGCTTTGGGCATCAGTTTTTTTTATGCTGCTACATCACATGGACCCATGGAGAAGAAAAATGGATAAGAGAGAGATGATGCGGTGGTTAGAAAATACAAATAGGAGAGGACAAGAGCAGACTGTTGGTGGAAAACACCCGACATAGAATCATTGGTAGTTACCTAAACGAGTGTTCAAGTAAATATACTACAACACTGCATTGGCAAAAAAAACATACATAGCGGCAGTTTAGTGACATATACTTGAAGGATAAAAAAAATGTGTGGTGGTGGGATCAACCCGATGTTAAGTCTAATAAATACTCACAAAAACTTTGTTCAATCAGATGTGGTTTTGTGCTCTATACATGTTTGTTGATACGCCTACAATAGACTAACGTTTCTTGACTATGATATATAAGAGGTCCAAAATTTTGATTTCAAGATGGATCGAAGTTAGGTGCACAAATATATGATGCGTCCAGAAAACTCTTTTCTTTTGCATCCATTTTGTCCGAAAAAAGTGAACACCTGAAGTTCAAATATTAAACGCGAGCAGAAAAAAGTTAAAATGATCTAGTGCTCAAAATAAAATAATACCTACGAATTAGAAAAAAAACTTAATAAAAATACACAACTCGAAAAGAAAAATAAGCGAATAGTTCGATGTTAAAAAATTGAAAAATCACTAAACCCCTGAGGGTTCACCCCCAAAAAATAGATCCATGTTTATTTAAGAAGTAATGGATTTCCTCCATTTCAAAAAAAAAACTAGAAGTTTAAATTTAAATAATAGAGAAGTTCAAAAAGTTTATAAAAAAGGGTTTTCCCAGTTTCCAAAAATAATTATAAGTTCAAATTTAAATAACGAAGAAGGTCAAAACCTAGAAGTTCAAATTTAAAAGGCAGAGCAATTATATATTTATTACTAAACTTGGATTTCTCCAATTACCAAAAGGTTCAAACTAAAATAAGAGAGAAGTTCGATGTTCATATTCCAAGAAAAAAAACGTCACGTAGAAAATTTTAACTCTTGAAGTTCAAATTTAATAAATTGGAGAGTTCAAAGAAAATGTTATGAATATACAAAAAAATCCCATGGATTTCCTCGTCATAGAAAAAAGGTAACCAAAAAGTTCAAATTAAAAATTGATCACGACAAAGTAGATCTGCACGTGGCGAAAAACATTTCAAAAGTTACAAAAAAATGGATTTCCCCATTTCTCAAATATACCTAGAGGTCCAAATATAAAAGACGAAGAAGTTCAATGTTTATTAAAAAAAATCAAAGAAGGTCAAATTAAGAAAAACAAAGCATCTGAAAAAAATATTAAAAAATGGATTTACTCCGTTAAAAGAATCTAGAAGTTCAAAATTTAAAAGCAGCTCAATGTTTATTAAAAAACTAGGATTTTTCCCGTTAATAAAATATATAAAACTAAGAAGTCCAAGTTTAAAAAATGGAGAAGTTAGATGTTTATAAGACAATTAGATTTTCCTCGTTATTAAAAGAATGGAAACAAGAAGTTCGAAATGAAATAACGCGGTAGTGCGATGTCTAAAATTGGAAAATCTGAATCTGCTGACGGGAAATAATAAGAAGTTCAAAGAGAAATAACATAGAAGTTCAAAAAGATAACATGGCACTTTGAAGTGGATATTTCACCGTTTATACATAAAAAACAATAAGTTCAAATTCTAAAAATAGAGGAGTTCAAACATCATTAAAAAAGATTTTCACCATTTCTAAATTAAAAAAACTCTAGAAGTTCCTATTTAAATAACGAACCGGCTCAATACTTATTACAAAACTAGGATATTCCCGTTACTAAAAGAAATAAACCAACAAGTCCAAATTACAAAAATAGAGAAGTTCGCTATTTATAAAACACTCACATTTTCTTTGTACTAAATGAAATAAAATCAAGAACTTCAAATTTGCAACTTTCTAAAAAGCACACAAAGAAGTTCAAATAAAAAAGTTAGAGCGGTTCAATTCCTATAAAAAAACTCAGATTTTTTTCGTTACTAAAGTGAAACAGAGAGAAGTTCATACTGCATGGTGTGTGTTTTCATATGAGAAAAAAATGAAAAAAGTTAAAGTATAAAAAACTAGTTGCAAGAAGTTCAGGTGCTCGACACACGAAAGTTCAGAACTTCTTGTGAGAGAGGTAATCGACACGATATATCATTTGTGCAAATCCGATGAATGGGTGAGAAATAACGAACAAAAATATGGTAGAAGTTCAAAGTGAAAACAGCGGAAAGTTCAACTACTACACGGAATGCATTTCAAATGAGAATAAAACGAATAAAAAACTAAAAGCCTAAAAGTTTTGTTGCAAGAAGTTCACGCGCTCCTCCCGGTGCAGTTCGAGATCTCTAGTGTGAGGCTTCCACGTTTGATTAAATGTTAAAAACAAGCAAAAACGATGTTGTCTTGCCATTTTTAATACTGCTCTCAAAACGCAACGTATTTCTAACGATTGCGTAGATGAAAAATTTGCTCCTATTCATAAGCTTTCCAACGGTATATTATATGCTACATTCTGAGAAATGGTTTAAAAAGTTTTATGTATACCCTTAAAAACACATTTTTACGCATTCAAAAAAATATTTTGAACCGTCGCAAGTATGAAAATGATCAACACGAAAAAACTTGTGTGTTTTCAACAGCTTTCCAAAAAGTAGGATTTTTTCGTTACTAAAAGAAATAAACCAGGAAGTCCAATTTAAAAAGATGAAGAAGTTCGAAGATTATAGAAAACTCGGATTTTCCTCGTTATTAAAGAATGGAAATAAGAAGTTCGAAAATTAAATAACAAGAAAAGTTCAACTTTTAAAAATAGAGCGCTTCAAAATTTCATAAAAAAGTTTAAGAAAAAAAACCGCGAAGTCCATATTAAAAAGATGGAGAAGTTCGATTATTATAGAAAACTCAGATTTCTCTCATTATTAAAGAATGGAAACAAGAAGTTCAAAAATAAAATAACAACAAGTTCAACTTTTAAAAATAGAGCGCTTCAAAATTCATTAAAAGGATTAAGAAAATCAGATTAATATTTATAAAAAGCTCAGATATTTTTGCGTAACCGAGAGAAGTTTGGATTGATAACTACCACAAGTTCACGTACTACACGGTGTGCATTTTGTATTAAAAAGAATAAAAAAAGCAAAGACTAAAAGTTTGTTGATATAAGTTGAACTCCTCCGTCGGAGAAAGTTAAAAACAATATTATGAGAGAAGTTTATACAAAAGAAATACCATTTGTGTAACACTTGACGAATGGATGAGGAAATGACAAATGAAAAATACGTCACAGAAGTTCAACGTGAAAACAGCAGGAAGTTCACCTACTACACTGAATGAATATCAGATGAAAAACTTTTAAAATCATCGCGAGTATGAAAAAATGATCGACACGGGAAAGTTGCGTGTTTACAACAGCTTTCCATCGGTATATCACTTGCTCAATTTCGGTGAGTGGATGGAGAGATGCGAGAAGTGGATGGAGATCTACGAGCAAAAAAAGCACGTGAAAAACAGAGTGAAGTTCAGGTAGACATGCCGAGAAGTTCAGGTTCTTCACGTGGTGCATTTTCGAAGAATCTGTTTCGCGATAAAGATAGAACAAATGATCTCGCCATTTTTGTAATTACTTAAAAACGGCTAGGAATCAGAGAAAACCATCAACATGAAAAAGTTTCGAATTTTTCGTAGCTTTTCAGCGCTATATTATTTGCCCCATTTTGATAAAGTTTGTATAAATTACGGTAAAAATACGTTTTTAGCCATTTTCAAAACTGACATAAAACCGTAATGAATTATAAGAAACAATATATACAAAAAAGTTTTGCATTTCTTCAAGCTTTCCAACGCCATATCATTTGCTGCATTTGGACATACAGTTAAAAAATTAGCTCGAAAATACGAATTCAGTGGAACTTGTACCGTTTTCTAAATTACTTTTAAATCGTTCAAAATTAGAAAAAACTTTTAACATGAAAAAGTAGCGCATTTTCATAAGCTTTCCAACACCATATTATTTGCCTCAATTGGATTAGCCGTTTAGAAATGGCATCGAAAATACGAAATCGGCTGTTCATTTTATGAAATTCTACAATTTTCCGAATTACTCTTTAACCGTAGTGAATTAGAGAAAACTTTCAACATGTGGAAGGAGCGGTTTTGCAGCAGCTTTCCAAGGCCATATTATTCACCTCATTCCAATAAACGGTTTAGAAATGCGATCGAAAATACGATTCACGTTTTTTGTATGAAGAAAAAACGATTTTCAAAACTGCTCTTAAACCGCTTACATTTTGCCAAAAACTTAACTTGGGTCATGATACTGGTGTCCATAGCTTTCCAACGGTATACCGCAAGCCTCAT